ACGTACCATCGATACGTCTGAACGTAGCTCGAGCAAATCACGCCTTTAAACATTAAACATCCTTGCTTTGTAGCATTCAATTTACTGATCTGAATTGTTCTCAGCTAATAGAGATCAATGTGATAATCAACGACGATTACAGAAACGAAACCTCAACGAGCTGAGTTGTTGTTCGAGAACAACTTGGTCTTGACGACGTTTCAACTCGTTTTTCGCATACAGTACAAAACTGGCCGTCACTACAACTCCACCAATTGTTGTAGCAATCACTGCCACTTTATTCTCGCTCAGATAAGTGGCTATCGTCATTATCTGGTCATCAGTAGGCACTTTACAGTCGTCTATAAACAAATCTCAAGTAGAGTACATTAGTTTTCGAAATTGACAATACGCATCCACTGTATATACATAAAAACGACAAAAACACATTGTTTCACGTTCAAAAAGCGAGGAATCACGCATAAAAGGAAGCGATGTGAACAATTCACCTCAAAGATATGAATAGATTTGAATATGCTTTTGATATCATGCTCTTATTGAAGCATACAGATATTGTCGCAATGTGAGCACTTTAACACTGATGTTTGCTATACGTCAATAGAGTAATGATAACGAGATTACTCAGTAAGTAATGAATGTGATAATCAACGTATAGCTGACGGTAACCTGCGAATGTACAATATTTGCTATTCATTTGAAAGACGTCAACATTTCGGAGTTTGACGACATTATCGGAAAGATTTATCTGACAACAATGATTACATGACTGTTTATAAATGATTACTGATAGTGAGTGTGTTCTCGAATTGTCATGCAAACATCATTAGACAATACTTCGACGTATATGAGATACATCTAAGACAATGTTCTGTGTTTTATTCATTTGAATCCTCCTGTAAAGCTTTCTGACGATGGCTGTGTCTAATAACGAAACGTTCAGCTCTTCAATAACATGAAGAAAGAAATGTTGTTTGTTTGCGGACTATCTTCAACAGTACCACACATCGAATATCCTGTTAAAATCGTCACCATGCGATTGATTGAGAGGCTTCTTTGCATTTATTGTGAGCGATTACTTTGCAATACTACTAAAATCAATGATAGTAATGGTACTGATTGAGACAAATAATGAAATAAATCGCTAAGAAAACACAC